ATATAAGTTATTTACAAATTAAAAAAAAAATAAAGCAAATTAATGTTAATTTATCTTGTTTAAACTTACCCAAAAATATAGAGTTAACGATCGCCGTTATTATTCGCTATATTGGTATGTATCTATATATAATTGATCGTACCTATAAATAATTGATCGTACCTTACCTTTTATATAATATCGTACCGTAATTAAATACTATATGCTCGAAATATATGGTGTTATACCTTATATAGCACCTGAAGTATTTAAGGGTGTTAAGTTTTCTGATATTTATAGATTGTGTGGGAAAAGTTGATCAACGGGTTAGATACTAATATACGATGAAAAAATGTTCCGGTGTCCGCCCGCTCAATAATTGAGTCGATGCTGATTGGCTCTTGCAATTGCACAAAAAGTCTAGATAAAGTTTTGAACTTGACTTAAATTAGATGATAAGTATTTTTGTAATAAATTTTACTGCGCCAAATTTAACAACATCTAATAAAATTATTTAAAAATATTTCTTTTATAAAAATTAATTGGTCAAAATAGTCATCCAAAATCGATCAGTCAACCGTTTGGTCAGGATCGGTCAAAATTGGTCGGTCAACCGGTCGGTCAGAAGCCTTTGACCGATCGATATCGGTCACGGCCATGACCGGTCATGACCATGACTAGAGTGTCCAGGATTATGCTATGTACTGTAAAATACCAAATTATGCATGAGTAATAAAATAAATTATGCGTTTATAATTTTGACCAAAGTTATAATTTAAAAGGATTTATTTCTCTATCCAAGTATTTCATTATTTAAATTTTTTTTTTCAGCCCTCTGAAATCATTCCTTTTTTAGAATAGCTATTACAAATTAATTTTCAATCATGTGCAATTCTCAAAAATCCTTTGTAATACAATTTCGTTTTTGTGTAACATAAATATTTATTTAGCCTTACATCAAATCATCTTTGACTTTTTGATTAATAATTTTTTAAACGGACCGAGATCCTTTTTTGATATATAGTATCTTGTTCTACCTATTCTCCCGTTCTCACATAAAAAAAAATAATTGTCCAATAAGATGTTTTTTGCAATCATTTTAGTTTTTATATCTTTTATAGCTTATAAAGTTTATCCAAAATTCAGAGTACCCGAAGGAATTAAAAATGTACCAACATTAAGTTTCTTGAAATTGATTTCAGCTATTTTTTCTAATGAGGGTCCTGACAAACGCTGGGAAAATACGCGTAAAGTTCTCGAAAAAGAAGGAATTGGAAAAGTAACTAAAATTAAATTATCATTCTTCTGACGATTTTTTTTATTATTATTCAAAGAAATGTTTTTAAAAATGAAAAAAATATAGTTCTGGTTCAATGGAGTATGGTATATCGTTACAACCGATTTGGAACTTACAAAAGATGTATTTTCAAAAACAGGTTATAATTTTTTTTTCCTTCATTTTTTTATTTTTTTATTTTTATTTTTGTGATTGATTCCTTTTTGCTTTTAACATTATAATTTGAATTAGATTTGTATCCTAAAACATTGCTCAATGAATCGGACCCCGGATCTTTATTGGCTGATTACTACGGTACGAACTTAATCATTTCCAACGGAGATGTAAGTTTATTTTTAAATTTCTTCTGAATATGATCTGATCTTTGATTGACATTCGATTGCCTTATTTGTATGTAGGTTTGGAAACGTCATCGGTATGGTATCATTTATCATAAGTAAAATGATTCCAGCAGTAATTAATTAATTTCCCTTGATTTCTTAGTCATATTGCAAGTCCTGCGTTTAAAAGTCTACCTATGCATGTATTTGATGAAACTGCTGTTAAATTGTTGAAAGTCATTGAAAAAGTTGATAATGGACCTATAGAAGTCAAAGATCTTATGCATAGGTAAATAAATCTCGAGTGATTTGGAAGAAATTTTTTAATTCATAGATTAATTATTGCAGACTTACCTTGGACGTTCTTGGAAGAGCTGTTTTTGGATTTGATTTTAATGTAAAATGAATTTATTTTTTTTTTTTTTTTAAAAAAAAAGTAAGCGAGAAAAATTATTGATGATTAAATAATTAATATTAAATAGAATCTTGAAGATCCAACAAACGTCTATGTTACTACTTATCAAGACGTGGTAGCCGAATGTGATAAACCTATATATTTAGTTATCCCACTCATTGAATATCTCCCGTATTTTGATCGTACCGAAGCGCGTAAAAAAGTTGCAAAGATTAATGAATTATATAATGGACTTATTGAGATGAAACGTAAATCAATGGAAACGGAAGAGTTGATTAAAAAAAAAAACAATAATACCGCTGATTTGTTAGAATGTATGATATATGCTTCTAGCGATCCAAAATATCCCATGTCAGATGAAGAAATGAGAGTAAGAATTGTAATTGTAATTTATTATAAAAACTCTATAAATTATTTGAAATTTTATTTATTGGTAATCTTGATTTTATAGTATAATCTTGCAATGTTTATGCTAGCTGGTCATGATACTAGTAAGGAAGAACTTTTAATAAGTTTCCATCTTTATTTATCATATTTGAACTTATAATCTTTATTTTTTTATAATATGAAATTAGCCGCTACTTCTTTGACAACTATCTTATATGTCTTCGCCACCCGCAAGGTATTTAAGAATTTTGTTCTTTAAATAACTTTTGTCTATTTATTAACTTAGATCTTGCTTCGATCTTGCTTTTATTGAATAAGGATGTGCAAAGAAAAGTTCGTGAGGAAATATTACGGGTCCTTGGCGATACTTTAACCCCAACCATAGATCAGCAAAGAGAATTAAAATATTTGAACATGGTTATTAAGGAAAACTTAAGATTATATCCTCCTGTGTGTATTATTTCAAGTTTTAAATTTGTGACAGATACCAAATTGTATTAAAAGTTATATTTTTTATGAAGGTTCATCAATTACCAAGAAGAGAAAATTCAGAGACCATTAAATTTCGAAATCATGTATTTTTGCCGAAAACACCTATCTTAATAAATATCTATGGAATCCATCATTCACCAAGATATTGGAAGGATCCTGAAGAATTTATTCCTGAAAGATTTGAGAATGAAGATGAAAAACGCGAACAATCTACTTGGTTACCTTTTGGCAGTGGTACCAGAACGTAAGTCGAAGACTTTTTTTTTTTTTGTTTTTTCGTCGAATATCTAATTTATTTCATTATTATTAAATAGATGTTTAGGTAACAACTTTTCACTAATTGAACAAAGAGTGATGTTGTGTGCTTTATGTAAGTCGTATATAATTTCTTCTGTTTACACACATATATATTTTTTTTCTTGAAATTAAATTTTTTTTATCTCTTTCTATATAGTAAGAAAATATGAGGTGTCTTTACCAGCAGATAGTAATCATCAAGATAAATTACATCTTGATTATTTTAATGGTACACTTACGAAACTACAATCATTGTACTTAATGTTTAAAAGAAGAACAGAATAAGTTTTTTTTTTTTCAACGACGTAAATAAGTTCATTCATTCTTAAGTAATTGAATTAAGTAGAAATATACACACATGTAGCGCTTTTGTATGTAAAGTAAAAAGGTTTATGAATTAAACCAGCGGTTTCCCCACTTTCACTACAAAAGTATTTTAATCAAACTTAATTTGTTGTAGCTTCAAATTTAAAATGTCAGTTGAAGATGTTATTACACTTAATAATGAACAAACATATTTTAATTTCTTTGTTCATATCTTATTTGGTTTTCCAAGATTATAAAGTTAAAAATTAATTATAAATACATCACATTTATTATGACATAAAAAACTTCATTATTTTATGATTATATTATAACGAGAAAAAGATGTACTTTATAGAAAGGGATGCTGTGATAATATAATACAGTACATCCAATGATTTTGGGGAATTACAAGTTCCTCGCCCGTAGGGACGAAAAATTTTTCGAATCATTCTCTACAAATATTGATTTACATTGCTATAATTAAGAGGAAGTGGTCGTCTTGTAAATAAAGAATTTTATATTAATATTTTAATAAAATTTTGAATATTTATAGAATATGTACTATATATTTGGCCGCCGATATAAGCACGTTAAAAGAGAATAAAGCCAGTAGTGCAAATTATGGTATCATTTAATTCCTATCGTCTCGTAACAAATTTTTAGTCAAGCATTATAGCCGCGTATTATTGACAGGTCAAGCATCATAATTACGCAAATACTTCAACCACGCATATGTGAGACCTTACGTCACGATATGCACCGTATGCAGAAGGAATCATAATAGCTAGCTAGGAAGGTAGAGAGGAATAATTATAATATTTATTATTACGAGTGTAATTGATAAGAGTGAATTGATGGTAGCAACGATAACGCCATTTAGATCATATTAGACCGTAAATATTATGACTTTCATCAAGAGTTCGTCTCTTTACGTTGCAATCATCACATTTTATTATGTAAGTCTCTTTTAATAGCAAACATAAAAAATATTTCTTTATCAGTATTCTAGAAAAAAAATTACATAGCATAAACTATCTGTGCTCGGTACGGTTTTTACATCTAAAACAATATGCAGATCCGTGTAAAGTTAGAACGTTTCTTTTTCAATTTAATTTAACAATGCAATGTTGGGATGGGAATATAGTTGCAACATTTTTTTTCATATTAAAACATACTAAAAACTATGTATATAGTATAAAGTTACTACTGATAGATTGTTCCAAATCAATTGATGCATTTATAAACTTCTACTGTATATTTCTAAACATATATCGGCTGATTGGAAAAATTGGGCAATTAATATATAGCTGATGGGTTACTAAAACACTAATAAAATTAAGGGGAGCTTTTTCCGATCAGCCGATATTATTTAATAGATTGCATTTTCATTTCCACTCGAAATTAATAAAAAACTATTCCAAAACTACTACTTTTATAGAAAAAAATTTATTTCCTTAGCATTTAAATAAAAAGGGGTATTGCATTATTCTTTAAGTTATCGTGTATTCATTTAAACTTTTAACATTACTTAAATGTTATAAAGGGCAGTTAGTAATGATCTAATTTGTAACGACCAGATGTCATTCAAGTTATTAAAATTATTTGAAAAGAAATAAAACATTTGGAAGTTAGAAGTGAAATGTTTTTCTTTTGGACATTGAACGAATAGAAGCGATCGAAGGTTTCGGATTTTTAATGATAAAATGTTCCTATTTCAAGACGTGCTCGCTTCCTTAAAAAATATAATTAGTTTAAAAATCTAATTTAATTATTAATATATTATATTATTAATAAGTTTAATTTTAAAAAAAAGAAAAAAAGAATAATATTAATATATCATCATTATAATTTAGAATTAGGAACTTGTTCAAATTGTAATAAAAATAATACTTCATATAAATGGTGTAAAATTGTAATTCAAAACAATTTCAAAAAGATTTTTCTTCTTGGACTAGTAGAAATAAATTTATTAATGAATTTATTCAAGAAACTCAGCTGAATACTATTCATAAAAAAACAAGTACTAGAATGGATTCCTTATAATAAATTTAAAAATATTGAATATTTTGATAAAGGAGGATTTAGTATTATATAAAGCTATTTGGTTAGATGAATATATTTTAAGAAAAATATGGAAAAATATTATAAATAAATGGGAAAGAAAGGGTAAAATAGCTATAATTCTTAAAAGTTTTAATAATTCATCAAATTTTAATGAAGAATTTTTAAAAGAGATATGACATTATCAATTTATTTATAATTGTAAATAATTTATTTTAAGTTAATTTTTATTTATAGTAGAAATATCATTATAAATGTTACTGTCAGAATTATTTAAATGAAAATCTTATTAGATTATATAGATTTACTCATGATCCAAATACTTTAAATTATATGATAGTAATGCATTTTGCTAATAATAATAATTTAAGAAAAAATTTATCAAATTTTATTAATAATAATTGGATAAATAAGTTATTAAAATTATATAAAATTATTATTAGACTTGATGAAATACATAAAAATCTTATTCATTGTGATTTACATCATGGAAATATTTTAATTGCTAAAGAAGATACTTTATCTATTAGTGATTTAGGATTATGCAGATCTATAGAATATTTTCAATCATCTAAAAAAGATGATATATATGATATTTTACCATTTGTAGCACCTGAAGTTTTAAGAAATAAAACTTATACTTTAGCTAGTAATATATATAGCTTTTCTATGATTATGTGGAAATTCATATTTGGAGTTTCTCTATTTGATAATGAAGCTCATGATTTTCAACTTAGTTTAGATATTTATAAAGGTAAGCATCCTAAAATAATTGAAAATATTCCACAATGTTATATAAATTTAATGGAAAGATGTTGGAATCTAGATCCATTAAAAAGACCTACAGCATTAGCAATTAAAAAGACCATTGAATATTGGATTAGTAATATTAGAATTAGAGGTTCTGATAAAGAATGCAAAATTAATATAGAGTTTTACAAAGCAGTTAAAGCACAAAATAATATTTATTAAATAGAAAGTCTCATTCACAAGCATATTATACAAGTCGTTTATTTAATTTTACTAAAAATTTAAATAAAATTTAGATCAAAATACTGAAATTAGTCAAAGTACTGGTAATTATTATCATTATATTATAAATTTATAAAAATAAAATAATTTAAGTTTTAATTTATATACTTTAATTTACAGAAACTTTAAATATTAAAGTTGATGAAATAAGTAAGTAATTTAAATTAAATATTAAATTACATACAGTATATAGACTTTATTTTAATTTTTTATTATTTATATAGGTGATATTTTTTAAAGAGAATTATTAATATATTATATACAATTAATTCATTACAATATTTAATTTTTATGAAATTATTAATTTGCTTAAATATATTTGAAATTTAGAAATATATAAATAATTAATGGAAATATATAATTAGTTTAACGTTAATCTTAACTATTATACTGCATATCACTGATTTTAAAAATGCTCTTTCTTTGGCAATTTTATATTTTTAGAATTATTTGTGGTTTAAAAATGATTTTTCATACTAAATCGCTAGGAATTAATGTAAATGCAGTTTAGTGTCAAAATTACTTAACTGACTAATGAAAACTGTAACTGTAAATTTCTTTCATCAAAATAATATCAATATTAAACCAATATATCGAGAGAATAAAAACAAACTTCAAAGATTATACTGTGCCACTAAACTTTAAAATAATAAAATTGCTAGATTATTCTAATATAGACAAACTGAAAATATAATTTAGTTCTGAAATTATATATGTGAGCTTTGCCGTAGAAATAGATCTATTTTATTAAAAAAATGAATTTTACTTTTATTTTGATTTTGTTTTCAAAATCATCAAGAATTTAAAAAAAAAAAAGATTTGAAAAGTCAAAATTTACACTTATAACTGGCGCATTCAATGCTACAATACATATTTTATTATTTTAATTCAATTAATACTTCTTCAAAGAAATTACACACATTTGTTGATCTTCCTAAATATTTTAAAATACTTAATTTTGACAGAATATAAAAAACATTCATAATTACGTTAGTAATATCTTCAAGTTAAAACTTATACTTTGAATGGATTGGATTAAGAAAAAAATTCACACAATTATACTTAACGTCAAAGATGCATTTTTGTTTAAACCTTTAAACTTTAGAAATTATCTAGATTTAATAGATATATGATAACGAATCAGTTTGTTAATAAGTACCACTCGCTCTATAATATTAAATACAGTACGACATTTTGGACTTATTTTGCAAACTTATACTGTTACATACGTATCTGAATACAATTCTTTTGTATTGGTCATGCGACTTGAAGTTAGACTTTCATTAATGTATATATTTATACAAACAAAGGATGGCAAACAGAAAATTTTATATTAGTTAAGTATGATTTATTTAATAAGAATCTATTGATCAAAGTATTGCCTCAATGTCAGTTTTGAATTCTGTTTGTTAAACTAAATTATTACAAAATATTAATTTAAATCTTAAAGAGAAGAATTGACTACAGTCGGAAATTGTCTAGAATTTATAATCACATTCTAATTTTAAATATTTCTGCAATTAACCTTACACAGGAGATGCATATAATTTAAAGTTTTCATCGGTAAACAGCTTCTAGCAGCATATTGTCATATAAAAATCTTTAATAATGAAAATGAAAATAAGAATCTTTATTGTAGAGTCTTAATTACACAAAAGTATTTTAATTCAGTAAATGCTTCCCTCAAAATAATTTTAAAACAACGAAAATCCATTCGTTATATTATTGTACACTACCTATTAAATTAAATAATTCGGGAGTGTTGAAGTCAATAATTTTTGTATTAATAACTTTTTTTACACAAGAACTTTATTTTGATCGAAAGAATCCTTTTTTATTCCTTAATGAAAAAAGATAAATAAACTTAATGTTTGAGATTTTTTGTTTAATTGTATGAAAGCACATCATTTATTGCATATCCGCATAGTGTTGTTTCATCGTGGGTTCCCATTCAATTTGTTCTAGTTCAAAGATGAATTTTATCATAGTTTCATTTGCACATAACTAGCTTATCTTGCGCTCTGTTCAACAAAATGAAAATAAATAAAACATTGTTTATAAAGTTAATTTGTTGGTCAATCATTAATTTCATAATAAATCTGATGAACGTGATAAAAAATACATTAAATAGAATGGTCGTATCACTCAGTTAACAAATGCTTTATTTCAATTATCGTCATTAATTTTTAAATTTCATGGAGAGATGCATGACACGAATTCTGAATGTTAAATAAATGTAAAGACTAGTATATAAAGTAATCTGTCAAAAGAAAATAAAAAAAATATCATAGAATAACAGACAATAAAGCATATTATCACACCAACCCAAGACGTTTGTTTTTTTAAAAAAACAAATAATAATAAAAATAATATAATGTCATTCGACTGTAAGAGACGGTCATTAAAATTACTTTATTAGATATGGTTATTTGGGATTATGTGTAAGCAGTTTCTTCAGAAACACCTTTCGAACAAAATTGGAAGGAAAATGTGCAGTCCGTTGGTCATAAATAATTATCTGTCAAAAAGGAACAATCGCTTT